CTCAGGGTCCTGGGATTGAGCCCAGCATCACGCTCCCTGCTCAGTGGGGAGCCTGCTTCTCCCTCTCCCTCTGCCTACCGCTCTGTCTCCCTGTGCTCTCTCTCTGTCAAATAAGTAAAGAAAATCTTTAAAAAAAGAAACATAAAAGATTCTAATTATAAAATATTCACAGATAATTGTTCTTTTATTCTATTGATTCATATGCTCCAATACTGAAACATCTTTAGTTCTGTTTATACAATTTATACAAATTATTGTGTATTTATCCTCTACAGTTAGAACCAGATATTGACCAATTGCACCATTTTCACATATAATATCAATATTTTGGCCAATATCAAAAATAAATAGATATCAGCAGGATATGACATGTACATGACAAAACTTCAGGGATGCTTGCCAGAAGGTAATTCATGTTGATGGGATGGGGACTATTGAAGTGAATCCCTAAGTGAGGAGGTTGCCAAAGTCCATCACTCCTCCCCCAGATGTGTGGGTCTGGCCCACCTCTCAGCTCCCCATGTGAGGAAGGACCTGAATGAGGACACTCAGGAAGACACGTGGATCTTCAACTAGAACAACGGTTCCCGTGGGATGATGCATCATCTCCAGATGGGGTAGTTGTTTATGACCACACATCTATTCCACATATATGTCCCATCTCTGTTTCTGGTCAAGAACAAAGGTACGTATGAGAAGAGGAAGGTGGAAACAGAAATAAGGAACAGACTCTCAGAAGGGATATAGAGGAATGTGGTCCAGAAAAGGGCTCTGTCTTGTGCAGATGACAAACGGGGAGAGAGGTCCCTCAAGGAATTCCAGGTGAAGGTCAGATTTCCCCTCTCCCCCCCGGGAAGGACAGGTGTAATCGAGTGGGGGATGGAACTGGTCAATTATTTTTTGGGGCAGGATATCGGAGTTTCAGAGATGCCTTGGAGCGGGGAGAAGGTGAAACAAGGAAGAGTAGGAGAAGTGAAGAGCATCTAAGGCAGAGAGAAAGGACCCCCTCTGTCTAATTCATTGCCGGTTCCCAGCACTGAGCCCCTACCCCTCCAGAGAGGAGCTGTCGGAGGAAACCACAGAATACAGTGGAATGACTGACTGAGGGCATGAGGAAGCTGGACAGGCACAGAGAACCTGCAAGACTGATCCAGTCACTAGGACACCTGGGTGGCTCAGACGGTTAAGCGACTGCTTTCTCTTCAGGACATGAACCCAGGATCCTGGGATTAAGCCCCTCTGCCCCTGCCGCCGCTCATGCTTGCTCTCTCTCTCACACTCTTTCTCTCTCTCTTTCAAATAAATAAATAAAATCTCTTTTAGCAAAAGAAAAAATAGAGAATATTATTAGGAACTATTCCACAGAAAGGCATGTGATGAGACTAGCTTCACAAGAAAAAGTAACAAACTTTCAGAGAGCAGAAAATTTTATGTGTTTGCTTCATATATATGTTATTGAAAAGCATTGAAAAACAATGGAAAATTTAAATTCTTTTTTTTTTCACTTTTAAGTAGGATCCATGGTCAACGTGGGGCTTGAAATCACGACTCTGAGATCTAGAGTTGCATGGTCAACTGACTAAGCCAGCCAGGTGTCCCCAGAAAATTTAAATTCTGATAGAAAGAAAAAGTAATACTGAAAAATATTATACAGGAAAAGGAAATTTGCAGGTCAGTATTAAGAGATATTTTACCTATGATCTAAATACAATATGAACAGTGTGACTCCAAGCTCACATCCATACGTTCATACACCATGACCATGTGTGATTTACTGCAGGCATACAAGTTGAATTCCATTGTAAAAAATTATTTTATATAAGATATTCTATTAATAAACCAATAGATGAAAATCACATTGTCTCACTAGATCTTGAAAGACTCTTTGAGCAAATGGAAAGTGAAGTCCTAATAAAAACTGCATAAAATGGAAACAGACAGACACATTTGTACCATGGTAACACACTCTCTCCCACACACCTAGAACTCAGTCCCCCAGACAGGAAATTAGCTACTGTGGTGACGGGGGAGGACCTTTCTACATGACCAGGAACAGGCATAAGTGGCCTTAACACCATTAGTATTCAACGTCGTTCTACAAGTAATAGACAATGAAAGTGAACAAGAAAAATCACTGGTTCACTCTCAGCACTGATGGGAATAAAAAGGGAGTCATCCTAAAAGACACAAATATAGGATTCCTCAATACTCCCCTGTTTATGCAGCAGGACAGAAGAAATCCAATGAGGACACAGAACAGACTAATAGGTTTACATGGGTCTGGAAACTTGTAGAAAAAGGTAGATGATCAAGAATACAGCCCCAGATTCCTCACAGTTCCGGGAGGAGATGAGCATCCACGACCTGCCACCCCCAGTCGATGAACCTCAGTGTAGAGACCCTGTGGGGGAGATGACCTTTCCTAGTCCTTGGGAGACCCTCTGTCTAGGGAGAAGCTGCTGTGAGTGAAGGTGGGGACAGGAGGCAAGGAGGAGCCCTCACCCCCAGGAGATGCCCTTGCGTGGACTTGGCCCCATGATGGCCGCAGCAGAAGCACCAGAAGCAGAAGCCACGGGAAGAGCCTGAGCAGCCGCCGGGCCTCCCGCTCCTGGCCGATGAGAAAGGGGCTCTGGTCCTAATTTCCACAGGCCTGGAGTCTGTGTGAGCCTGAGATGCTGTCCCAGGAGAGGCAGTGAGGAGCAGACTGTCCTCAGACCTCAGCCCAGTGATGGTCAGGGAGCCAGAGCTGTAAGACATGGAAGCAAAAAAAGGATCAGGGTCCCCAGAGGGACTCACATCATAATAGTTGCAATTTTGGGATCCCATAAATGGGAGCTGTTGACAAAGGACAGATATAGGACACTCCCGACGAGTCGGGACTCGCATGCCGCTAGACTGTGTTTTGCCGGTTCTTTCCCACCTCATGATGGACTCTGTCCACCGGCGTTCCTGCCATGATACCCAGACATTTTTGCTCAATTTGAGAAAATGACAGAATCTGTGGATGTCAAGGACAGGGTTCAGGGACAAATTTTAAAGAATGTGAAATGAATTCGTGGACAAATTCCCTCAGATGGATCTCAGGCCCCAGGTTGTACCAAAGAAAGGAAGCAAGCAGTCGGCATGGCCAGGAAATAGGGCTGCACGGGGAACCCGTCGCTCTGGGGACAGCACGTTTGTGTTGCTTCTGCACAGCCCGGGAGCACGGTGTGAGCATGGAGTCCGCTGTCATAGGGTGGGCAGGAGTAATCAGCCTCGTCCTCAGCCTGAAGCCCAGCGATGGTCAGGGAGCCTGAGTTGCCAGACACAGAAGGAGAGAATCAATCTATGATGCCTGAGGGTCGGTTGCTATGAGCATAGATGATGGCTCTGGGGGCGGACCCTGGGAGTTGTTGATGCCAGCCCACAGAATATCAACCTATGTTGGGGCTGCTTCGAGTGCAGGAGATGGTGACCTTCTGGCCCAGGGCCTAGACACGGAGGGCGGCTGAATCACCACAGACTGGGCCCAGGACACTGCAACCGGGAGAGACACAGAGACGGTGATGCTGGGGTCTAGAGACAATAGGAGAATGTGGTAGTAGGTTTTTGGGAAAGGAACCTAGAAAGAAATTGTATGTGTGGTCAATACTCGCTAAAATTAAGATAAATTTAAATAAGTAAGTGAGCTTTAATATCAAACTATGTGGATGCAAAATTGGAATTCTATTTTAACTTGATTAAAAAGTCAAATTTTTCTTGAATTATTGGTCTGCTTTTATCAAAAAAAAATGGGAGACAAAAGTTTTTATTCACTATTTAAATTATCTTCTTGGAAAATATTCACTCTGTTTTATCAAAGTATTTCCTATGTTTCTCAGGAGTATGATGTGTTGAAAAATATATCTTTTTAATATTTTAAAAACTCCTACGTTTTGCTTACAACTCTGTAACTTTATGTATTTGTGTTTGATAAATGTTTGTCTTCTGTGTTACGGGAATAACACATTTCCTTCTCAATTGGATCGTAATAATCTCTAAACTGTCCGTAGCCATGGCCACGGCCAGGTCTTGTCACGTACAGTTCCCATCTTATTCCGATGCTACTGCAAATGTGTTACATCTTCAAGGATATTCATGGGCAGAACTTTGAAAATATGTAGGTTTCTGATACCTTTAAGAGAGTAAAACTAAGGTAAAAATTGCCAGAACTAATAGAAGAACTGGATTCAAACAGAACAAAAAATGAATAACATGAAACTGAATGTCCACGGGAAAATAATTATAATTTTATGCCTTTGTGTTTGAAACATTGTTGACTTTTAAAAATGTTTTGTTCCTTCCGATTTAAGGAAACTTCTCTTAAGCTAACTGATCTATAAGAACTTAACAAAATATACCTTGGTGAACAAATGAAACTATTTATTTTTTCTCCATACCTGATCCCTTCAAAACTCAGAAACCATCAGGGAGCATTCTTATACATTGATGGCAATATATTTATTAGCATAACTTTCATAAGATTCCTGTTTTCCTTGTAACAAGATATAATTGGAAACATTGGTTAGATTACTAAGACTCTGACTACAAGGTCATATTTGAAAGAGATATGTATCTGTATATACTCAGATATGACCAGGCAGCTCTAAGGAACTAACATTGACTTTATTGAGACAATAAAGCCGCTTGGAAGTATCAGCCGGCCACCTGCTCACAGAGTTTCCAGCAGCTTTACCAGGTGACTCAAGAAGGTCATGTCTTAGCAGGTGCAGGAACCGTGGGATATTTGGGTCCCTGAAAAACAGAGAATTTCCCCAGGTTAAGTTTGATGACAAGTATCTGGCACAAGTTTTGGCTAGGCTTATGGCCTGGATGGGCATTTACATGTTCAATCTAGAGGTTTCTTATGAAAGTTCCAGCAAAGGAGGTTTTAAAGAGCCTATATGGTTAATTGCCATTCTTGCTGCGCTTATGTAAATAATCAGACCAAGTTCTTTTTGAAACTACAATTACTTGGTGAGCAAATTAATGTTAATTTAGCTATACTTAGTAGAAATGAGGGTGACTGTAGAGAAAAAACATGTTTCAATAACACACCTGAGTGAAAAGTTAATTCTAATCCTGTTCGTTAAAACCTGGACTAGATCCTGAGGTTATCTAGTTTCCTAATATGTCTGGCTACAAGTCTCAAAACTAACATTACGATTTTTCTCCCATCTTTCTGAGTTGGACTCACTGCCTTTTTCCCTGAAGTCCTGAAAAGTAAGTACAAACAACATGATGTAAACTTCAGAAAAACCGCCAGAGCAGCTCACATAGAGACGGTCTTCGTCCCTGTTGCTCTGAGGACCACTCAGGGATCACCAGACACATCTGAACTACAAACCAGGAAAATCTGTCAGATTGTCACAGCCTGCTGTCACTCTGTCTGAGGATATATGAGCTTGACATCTAGAAGTGTTCTCCCCTGCTGACCTCAGAACCTGGGAACTGCTTTATACTTCGATAATATCATGAACCATCATTTTGTTTCCAGAGAAATACCTCTGGTTTAATACCTGATTTCTAGAACCCCAGGCCTTACATTGAGAACACACCTGCATCTCCCCCTCCTGCAATAAGTCTAACTAAACTGGCTTATGGTCAGGAGTGTGTCAACCAAACTGAACGATCGTCTAGCCCACTTTGGACATGTGTAACTTTGGGGAGTTTCAGAGGAGGGAGGGACCTGGCCAAGACTAGACTGCCCCAAGATGGGCCACTTTGGTGTAACATTATTTTCTTAAAAGGAAAAGAAACTCACCAGATTTAAGAAAAGCTCTGTACCTCGCCCCAAACTGCCTGCTGGTACCAGGAAGAGAGCCAGTAGCAGGGTGTCCTCTGTACCTAAGACATGTGGCTACAGCGCAGGACGACCTTTGTCTGCAAACATGTCCCCTCTCCGTCCTGCTCCTGCTCTTCCTCCTCTTTGATCCTCAGGCCCCACCCCCCTCTTCACTCATATGAGGGTCATGTTGCCTGACGGTCCTTGGAATTCTCCACGTCTGTGTGGATTCACGTTATGTAGGCTATTAATTTTGATTTTGACCTGTTAATCCACCAAATGTCAATGTGAATCCGATTCAGCCAAATGGACCGTGAAGAGCACAGGAAATACTTCCTCCCCAACAACAGGCACAGGTGAGGTTTCATCAAGGGTCCGACAAGAGTAAGTAG